CTCCCCCTTTACGTTGTCGTCAAGTTTGAAGGGTACTCGGGGGGGGAATGGTCGTCTCAGGAGAGGTATAGACGTTGTGTCCCTATTTCTCCCGTCGACACCACCTGGCAGGACGGGGGGACGCAGGTCAGGACGCAGCTGCCCCTTAGGCTCTGCTGGGCAATTACGATGCACAAGTCCCAGGGGCAGACTTTAGCCAAGGCCGTCATTGACTTGGGGCCCAAGGAGGCCTGCACGGGGCTTACTTTCGTCTGTCTCAGTAGGGCGAAGAGACTTGTGGACCTCATGGTAGAGCCCATGAGTTTCGACAGGATTGGTAACCTTGGAAATTCGCCGACGATGAAGGCTAGGCTGCAGGAAGAGGTTAGACTTGGGGAGTTAGCACAGAGTACGAGGGTCAAGTACACGGACATGGGCGTCTTCAGCGCCGTCGCGGGTAACCAATGACGTGAATTGCAAAGAGAAAAAGAAGAAGAAAGGGTCTCTTCCACCTCCCGCGGACGCACACGTCTGACGACAGTTACATCTATCAGCTGTCGCTCGTTTTAGCGACAGCTACTATATCTTCTGATCCGGGTTGGTTGCATGTGGAAGCGCTCTCTCAGACAAGCAAATGTCAACCCCCTCTAAACACACACACACACTGGGCGATGGTCAACAACGTACCAGGCACGCTACCCAGGCGCAAAGGGTTTCCAAACATCGTGTCCCTACTCATCCCGTGAAGTCGGGGGGTGGTGTGTCCTTCCGATCATGGGGACAAAGGAGATCACAGTTCCTTTGCGCAGGATTGATTTGACGGCTGATCGTCTTGCTGCAGTACCAACCTCGCTGTCGTCTCGGTGACCGCGCCCACCACCGGGCCGAGCAAGTAAGGCGTTGGTCGTCCGGAGGAGGCTCGCTCGCGCTCGAAGAGGCTCCAATTGTCGATGCACACGGGTTGGTTAACAGCCATGATTCGGCCGGTAGACTGCTGTGCTATGCACGAAAGACTCTCTCGAGAGCTTGCTGTGTTGTTGTTGCCCGCGGCAGTCCTCTCTACCTTCTGCTTGGATGAGGATGTACCCTGCCCTGCAATCAAGAAAGAGGGGGTTCTGGGCGGCAAATCTTCGTCACCTATTGCTGTCGGCGACTCCTGCCGGCTCTGCTTGGGAACTGCGTCTGTGTGGCAACAACGCCCACGACTACACTCATGTTTAAGTGTAACGCTCCCCCTTCCCTGATTCTCAATAGTATATTTGTTTGCGTCTCCCCCGGGGCAGGCGCACAAGACGGCAGACGGACCTGAGCAGTGCCTAGGCATCAAGAACGTGCACGATACAACACCTGGAAGGAGGAAAGGAACACGGGTCGCGATGCAACGGAGGTTGAAGCATCTCCAGTGAAGAGTGCGTGTCTCCGACCTGTGCGTGCAAAGCGTGGTGGGAGTTTCGATCCTAAGGCAGATCTACGGAGATCGTTTGTATAGGTAAATAAACAGCGGAGGAACAGCAGCAGCAGCAACAGCGGCAGCAGCTGTTGGAACGGCGGCTGTGGGAACAAATACCAGTAGCACCCGGAACGCGCCGCGGGAACGGTGCGTTGCCATTGAACACGGCACGCGAGGAGTAGTGCTGCTGACATGGCATCGACTACCGAGCCGATGGAAGACAGTGACGCCGGCTTGGGTGCTGCGGAGGAGGCTCGCGCTCCCTTACTCGAGGAGGGGCATGGCACGCTGCAGCCGCCTCATGGCCGGCGGACTGCTCACCAAGGTGAGGGATCTATCGATGACACCGCTGATGCTGTAGACCTTGCATCGCATGACATAACATGCCGCTTTTAGCATTGCGTTGTAAACACCACAGCACTGGCACTAATGACAGCGCGGGCCTTGCAAGATGCTCCTGCATATCGGCGTCCAAGAACAACCTGCCTTGGTGCCTACCGTATATGACACAAGATAACACACCCCTTGGACCGATATTCAAAGCTCGGTTACTCCGCGACGAAGAGGATGCATAAACGAAACGATACATTTTCGAAAAGCTCTCCACGAGACGGTTTCAACGCCGCCGTTTTCGGCGCTGTGACTGTTCATGCAGTTGAGAAATCGAGCTTCGAAATTGGTCAATGGGGTGTGTTATATTGTGTCATATACGGTATAGTCTACACGAGCAGGAATGGTACAGCAGCAGCGGTGCCACGGCCTCCGTAAATTGAAGATTGCGAGCAGCCACACTTCACTCCCTTGTTTCAGAGGCAGCAGCAGCGACCGCCCAAAGATTTATCGTTACAACAGTAAACCTCGTTGCGTGCCCACTACTGATGAACACTGAAACACTACATACATACCTGGAACAGCAGAAGTAGGGTAGCCTGTGCGAATTTCCACCACCATGATGAAAATTCCATATACACAACAGAGACAGACGACGGTCACCGAGCTACACACGTACACACCATTCCTAGAACCATGTGCAACTCTTCTGCTGTAACTACATGGTACGACGTTCACTGCTGTAGCATGTGTGTGCAGCAGTACCTCCTGTCGATGCTGCTTGAACCGGTACGCTTCATTCGACATCTCTACTACTGCCGTTGTAAACCTCATTGGGTGCCCGCTGCTGCTGCTAGTGCTGCTGTAGAGCCCGTTGGGTAACCGCTACTGCTACTGCTGTAAAAAAAACTAATACTGCTGCTGCTGCTGCTGCTGCTACTGCTGTACATACCGCCGTCTCCGTAGGAAACCCTGACGAGAACGGCCAGGACGACGGCGCCTTGGACCAGGCAGACGTGGCTTATAGCGCCAACTCGTTCATGGCGGTGGTCAAGCCGGTGACGCTATGCATGACCCTATCTGCCTTCATCACGGTGTCTCTGTACTCCGATGCCGAAGGGGCCACAAACAGGTAAGTTCATCTGTTTTTGTTAGCATCGACCACGCTTACCGGCTGACCAATGAAAAGACGTCAGTCTCAGCGCGGTTGAAAACAGAAAATGGGTTTATTGTGTGAAATTGTTGCGAGATTCGACCGCGCTAGCCGGCGTGTGTGCGTCGTTTATGTCAGCGTCGACCGCGCTAATCGACTGAAATATGAAAATGACGTCAATCTCAGCGCGGCTTAAAACAGAGAAAGCTTCTAAAGGCCATGATCTGGAACCCCGTGTTGGGGCATGATGTGTGTGTTCGCACCCACTCGCCCAGGCAACCATACCCGGCGTATGCAGGGCTTGAATGCTTTCTTGCGCATCTGTGGGTCGGGCTTATCGAACTACTCAATGCCTCACGATCGAGTCTGCCCCCGCCGCCGCCGCCGCTGCCGACGCTGCCTCCGTATTGACTACCCCCTCAGCGCGTTGTCCGTATACGAGGTTTACGACGAGTCGACTACAAACCTAGACCCTTCGTCGGTGCGTCTTGGCAAGAGTTTCGTCAACGCCCTCATCATCGTGCTGGTGCTAGCAGGTACGATGCGATAGGGCGTATGGCAGCGTGTTCCGGGGTCCGAGGTTGAAGCAGTGTAGGATTACTTCATATTGACAAACCACAGGTTATGTGTTTGACCTCTTCCCCACCCTCCGCCTATTTCGTATTTGCCGTGGCCGGCGTGTGTTCTTGGTCTCCTTCTCTCCCCCCCCCCGCATTTCTCTCTCTCTTGTATCTATCTATCTATCTATCTATCTATCTATCTATCTATCTATCTATCTATCTATCTATCTATCTATCTCTACCTCTCTCTCGGTCTCTCTGTCTCGCCCCCTCCCTCTCTCCTCTCCTGCCCCCGCCTCACGCCTTGACCCCCGCCCCCTTGCGGTTGCAGCTGCTACCTTCGTGATCGTGTGGATGTACTGGATGAGGTGCATGCGCTGCCTTGTCGGGTACATGGCGATGAGCTCGGCCGTCCTGCTGGGAGTAATGGGAGGCGCGGTGTGGGCGGCGGCCTTGGAAGTGTATCAGCTCCCTTGCGACGCGTTCACGTACTACGGGGTGCTGTGGAATTTCGCGGTGGTCGGGGTCGTGGCCATATTCTACCAGAAGGTGATGCTGCTGTTGTGATTGGGCGTGGTTGGGGGGTTGGTGGTGCCTGTACGTACCGCGCTCGTGCTATTTCGGTTGTTGGCGGCTATTTCCTGTGTTGTCTGACGGGCGTGCAAGCGTTATATGTGTGTGTGTTTTTTTTGTTTTATTATTCGCATCGACCGCCCTAACCGGCTGACCAATGAGTGTGTGTGTGCGTGTCTTTCTTTATAAGCATCGACCGCGCTACCCGGCCGACCAAGGAATAGATGACAGTCTCAGTGCGGTGGAAAACACAAAATGCTTCAGTAGGCCACGATCTAGGACCCTGTGGCTGAGCGTCATGGGGGAGTCTACGCTACTCTCCGGTTTGAAGACAGATACCTTAGCAATAACAGAAGCAAGCTGCACGTGTATTCCATGGGTTTATGTGTATGTGTGTGTGTGTTTTGTTTTTTTTTGGGGGGGGGGATCTGTCGTGGTCTGCTTTACCTGACTGCCACAGATTGGGTGAGTATGTAGAGGATGGCGGTGGATTCACTTGCGGGCGTCTTGGTTTTGGCATCATACAACATTCTGACGATAAACGTATAAGGAGGCCAACTCCGGTGTTGCCTCTCGGCTGCTTGTCACGAGATCGTGTACCGCGATACGACGCTATGTCTTCCTTCCAGTGAACATGATTATACCGGGGACCTTGTCTTTTACCGCTGGCACGGACAATTTTTCATCGGCCAGCCCGTTAGCGCGGTTGATGCTATATAGTACCATGTTACTATGGATAGACACACACATAGAGGAGCACTTTGTCTCGTGGCACTGCTCGCCCTCCCTAAAGCTTCTTCTCGTGCTTTTCGGCGAATGAGCGGTGTACTTCAAGCAACGGGCCAGCCTCTGAAGCGGTGCCTCTACGCTATGTACGAGGACGCGTCTTCCTTTTGTCCGCGCTTGAACCGAAATGTGTGCCCAACTTCAGCTAGCGGAGGCGATCACCCAATTGGAGACACGCAATCCCCCCCCCCC